AGGTTTACTGGGCTTAGACGTTGTGCGAAAGGCTGCTCTTCCAGCTGGGAAGCAAGGCCAACCTCACCGACGTTCGGCTCCATCAGGCTTTGAAGAGCAGGCAGGCTCTCCGAGGGGACTCAGGCTTAGCTGCGTGATTCAGTGCTGAGAACCCACCCACTCTAGTCTAGCAGATGAAATTCCGGCATATCTAAGCTAGCCCAAGACCCCTGCTTCAACCCGCAGGCTGTCTCAGAGGGAGGATTGGCACGAGCTCAAAGATTTCGAGAGCGACACCCTCATGAATTTTGAGTACGCCCGAGCCCATGCCGCAAATCCGTTCTTGGAGCCACAGTATTCCTTCCAGGACCCATTGTCATTGTCATATTCATAGCCAGATTCAGAACCATAGTTCGAATCCGAGTCATAATCTTAATCATAAGCACAACACTTATCATACTTGTGACATGATCCTCATTGTTCTGATTTCTAATCTTAGTGTGACTGTCAGAAACTGCGATCATAAAATAAGTGTTATTACATCAACATGCTACTGAAAATCGCAGTAGTGACGACCAGCATAGCAGTCATATATAGTATGAACAGTAACGACGATGATAATGATACTAGTCGTGGCAGTAATATTAGTTTCAGTGGTAGTGGCAGTAGCAGTAGTAGTAGCAGCAGTAGCAGTAGCAGCAGCAGCAGCAGCAGGAGTAGTAGTAGTAGTAGTAGTAGTAGTAGTAGTAGTAGTAGTAGTAGCAGTAGCAGCAGCAGCCGCAGCAGCAGCAGCAGGAGTAGTAGTAGTAGTAGTAGTCGTCGTCGTCGCCGTCGTCAGTCGTTGTCGCTCGTCCTAGTCGTGGTCGTAGTCGTAGTAGTAGTTGTCGCAGTAGTCGTAGCAGTAGTAGTAGTAGTAGTAGTAGTAGTAGTAGTAGTAGTAGTAGTAGTAGCAGCAACAGTTGTAGTAGTAGTAGCAGTAGTAGTAGTAGTAGTAGTAGCACTGCTGCTGCTACTACTACTGCTGCTACTGCTACTGCTACTGCTACTACTACTACTACTACTACTACTACTACTACTACTACTACTACTACTACTACTACTAATAAAAGCATTATTGTTGTCATCGTTATAAGGTTTTTCCTCAAGGCCAGCAGGTGGATGTTCCGGACGATCACCAGGCTTCTGCTTCAACCTTATGCGTAGTCACCTCCATAAGGCTTTCAGCCTTCAGATCGACATAATTATTCTTACCGTGGCTATTACCTGCCGAAAACCATAAGCCATCATGATAGCCATAACCACTACAATTACCATTGCCATCACCATGATTGTCATTCTTGCTAATAATAACCTTGCTGATATTCTTCTGGTTACTAAAATTGTTGTTACTGACAGTATTCATTATGCTATGAGTCATGCTGCTGCTACTGCTACAACTGTTGCTGCTGCTACTACTACTACTACTACTACGAGTACTACTACTGCTACTACTAATATTACTACTGCAAATACGTAACCTGCTACTAGTAAGCCTACTACTACTGCTACTACTAAGCCGACTACTACTAACAATAGTCACACCAGAGCAGTAAGAATAGCAACAACCACCAGAACGACAACTCTCCTAGAAGAATATCAAGAAGGCCCAGAAAGTCCGCAGTGCCTTGCATCCCAACTTAAAAAAGGAAGACGGGAGCTCCTGAGGGCGCTTATAAGGTAAAGCTATGAGAGTTATTAGCTACTGGTTTTAGGGTTTAGGGCTTGGCGTTTAGTGTTTAAGAACTAGGGTTAAGGGTTCAGGGGATTTCTAACAGGGTATTGTAAGGGTTGTCAGTTGTAGGGGTTTAGGGTTTAGGGCTGACATTCGCGTACTGCGTTAAGGGCTACTATCAAGGTACTGTAGGGGTATGATACATGCTAAACGGGTTACTATATACAGGTTATTATATGGGTATTGTAAGGGTACTAGCATGTCCCGTGGACTGCCTCGTTATTTCCATTTGCATGTCGCCGTGTGCTTTTTGATCCGAGACCCCAATCCCTGAAGCCTAAACCTTTGCCGAGCTCATGGCTTAGCAGTAGATCTTAAGCCCTGAAGCCTCACTCAAAAGGCTTCGTAATTCTAAGCCGCCGTGGTACCGTGGCCCAAAGAAACTCAACCGCTTCCCTGAAAGTGCGCAGGATCTGACGGACATGGTTGGCGAGATGGCCCACGGCTACGGCAAGCGTCCCGACATCTCTTACTGGGTCCTTAAGTGGGGGCTGTGAATGGATCCAGTTGCGATCTTGGATCCTGGTTGCATTTTACTGCTACCGTCACCGAAGCCGAGCAACATATAGAAGAACATTGTACCGGCTTTGAGAGCCTGCCCACATTCGACATGCGAATGGCCCCGGAAGTTCTTTGCAGCATCTACACACAGCCCCCACATCGTTTCAGCAATGCTTGCTGCAGCTGTGGAGCAACCCCAATCCCAAGGCACTAAATTGTATGGAGACGTATTCATTAACTATGTCGTCATTCCTGGTTTGACCATCAACGCAATGTCTGCAGAATGATGGTCGGGCTAGACCGATCTCTGCACTCAGGGTGTACGAGGAGACATTGCGACGGCAAGCAAACTCATCCACACCTCAGGATATGGGGGTTTCCGAAAATGGGGGTACCTTATTTTGGGGTCCTTATAATAAGGATCCGACTATTTAGGGTACCATATTAGGGTCCCCTCTTTGCGGAAACCCCCATATGATCTAGCAGCTAGCAAGCCTGTTGTTTCCCTGCGCCCATAGGTGGCAGAACCGCGAGTGTCAAGAGATGAAGGCAGAGCTAACGGAGGCCTGGAGCACAAAGCTGCATTGTGTAATATAGGGGCCTAAATAACTACCAGTATCATTGTAGTATAATGTACCCCCAAACCCTATCTCATCATTAAGGCCCCCATATTAGGTTCAGAATGTCGGAATTTAGGGTGAGGCGGCTTAGGTTGCGTGTGAGGGTTGGGCGGTGTTACTGGGAAGGTCGGTTATACGCCTGGTAGTGGCCATTGTCGTAAGCAGGAATGCACTTCCCTTGTATGTTTTAGGTCCGAAGATCCCGACTGCCCACCGTCAAAGCCTGAAGAGTCCGAAAAAGCAGACCGTCTGAAACTGAAGACTGTTAAAAAACAGACTTTCCGAAAGGCCCAGATGATCCCAGAAAATCCGAAAACCTTGAAACCCGAAACCCTCGCAAATACCGAGTCGAAAACCCTGAAGTGAAGGAACACGCAGGGGCGCAGACGCGCCACAGTCCAGCTACAAGATGGATGTCATTAGCCAGAGGCACAATAATGCCGGTGATGAACATGTAAGAAGAAGAGATTGAATAGAAGTGAGCCTGCAGTGAAGACACAGTTTTTCTTCTGAAGCAGAGGTCACTCACTAGATCCTGAATCCTGAAGCTGTCGTAGCAAATTTGACAGCACAGAGGCACTAGCCACGAAAGAGGGTGCTACCTGTTCCAAGCCCTCGCGAAGGCAGATGTCAATGGAGACGGGCTCGTGCCGGTTAGCCGCTTTTACCTCCAGGTTGCCTGCGCAGTGCTGTCGGGATGCAGAGGAATGAATGTTCATCGTAGCAGTAGGACGGCAACAGGACGAGTTCTACTAGCGGCCAAAGCTAGTAGTAATTCATGGTCCCCAGAGCAGCCGGCATCATGCTGATGGCCGGTATGGCGGGAAATGCGGATGCTAGTGATACTGACAAGGCCGGCACAACTGCTTCTGCTAGTGCACTTCATCCCGCTCCTGCTCCTGCTCCTCCTAGTCCCACCGAATTCCACTCCGACTCCCACCCGCACCCCACTCCGACTCCGACCCCGAGTTTACTATTACTAGCCCAGTACCCACCACCCCTACTACCTACTGCTGCTGCTGCTTCTACTACCACTGCTAGCAGCACTGAATAGTGCTTGCGTCTTCGGATGGAGTTTAGAACGGGCTGCGGCTTCCTGCGGGATCCTCTTCCTGAACTCGGCGCCTGGCGATTTCTTGGTGGGCTTGGGATGTTTGTTGGGAAGGGCGTCTTTGGGGGTTACAAGGGTCAAGCTACGCTGAAAGAAGAGCCCGAAAGTATGAAGAACTTAGGTGCCGCAGGAGGGTTCGCCACGAGAGCCGGCCGAAGTCACAGCAGCAGACTGCCTATTCGGGAGTTTAGGAGTTTGGGTTCCGGATGTAGGATAGCCTGCCAGAGATATCAAAAAGTAAGTCTTGAGGCTCAGCTGCCTGTTTGGGATGCTCCTTAGTCCTTTGCCCAGCAGGCTGATAACGCCAAGTACCAGTTCAGCGAGTCGGTGCAGTACTTGCAGGAGATCGGCGCCCTGGACGAGAGCGGGGAGCAGAAGGTGCGGATCGCAAACTACCTGCAGGGCCCCTCCAACTGCATTGCGTCGTCGTCCTACTACTCCATTTGCTGCCTCAGTGAGTGCGAGGGCCTTGTGAACGAGCTGGAGGCTAAGGTTCAGGCGCCGGCTGTGGACCCCGCCTATCTGCTGGAGCTCGTGGGGCACATCTCCTCGGCCAGCGTGGACGCACCTCGTCAGCTTCCCTTTGGCTTGAAGCGCCGGCTGCAGGACATTGCAGAGCACAATGGCGGGCAGGTGCCACTGCACGGCCGGCTCTTTGCGGAGTGGATGCACTATGCCTTCCCGCACGAGTGCCCTTATCCGAAAGTCTTCCAAGAGTCCAAGATCTTGACTCCCGAGTTCTGGGCTCAGAAGAAGATGTCCGTGGATGCTCAAGAGCGGCTTGAGATTGCCTCGAGTGCCGTGCTTGAAAACACCACGGACACGGACAGCGTCGGCGCAGAGTCGGCAGAGATTGCTTGGAGCAGCGAGGAGCTGCTGCATGCCCAGGACTCCCCGGTGCGGAAGCACGGCAGTGCCCGCGCAGCGCTGCGTTGCACCATGCAGCTGGCGCTGCTCCTCGGTGTCCTCCGTGCCGCAGCCGGCAGCTGGCAGACGCTCCGCGACCTAGCTGCTCCCAGGAGCAAGGCGGCGCTGCCCTTCTGAGCGGGGGGGGGAGCCCAGACGACGAGAAGCCACGCCCGAGGCAAAGCTTCGAAGAAGCTTCGGGGGACAACGCGCTGCAAGGGCGGCCGAACACCGAATCTCGAAATCCCAAGATGCTGACTGGTAGCGAACATGCATCCTGTTGCTGTGTGCTTGCATTTTCCGTAGTCTTGAGAAGTCGGTGCTACGCAGCGAAATGAGCGTTGTCTTGCTGTAGCCTTGCTCAAGTCACACTCTCTTAGCAGGCCTTCCTGTCGCGGTCGACCCGACCGTGTAAGTTCTACATTCCTTCCCTCGGTCCCTTCGCTGGGGCCCTCTACGACCCGTACGTTCTTCGAGATGTTCGCGAAGGTTTTCGCGTTCTGGCTCGCCGTTGCCGGAGTGGCGGCAGCCCCCGGCAGCTTCCGTGGTGGTCCTGGCCGTGTGGCGGCTCGGGCGGTGGCCTTGGAGGAAATCCAGGCGAGCTTGCAGGAGGCCCTGGAGGGGGTGCTGAGCTCGGAGGCTGCGGCCAAGCGCAGCGCCCACATCGAGGCACGCGTCTGGCAGACCTTCCAGGCACTGCCCAAGAACGACGTGGGCCGCCTCGCACCCAAGGCCGTGCGGTACCTGGTGCACAGCTATTTCATGAAGGAGCACGGCTGGCTCATCCAGGGCTTGGATCCCCATGCCAACCAGGCAGATGTGTCGGAGGTCCACGAGGTGAGCATTTTGCAGGACAAGGCGCCGGCGCTGGTGGAGTCTTTGCTGGAGGCACGGCGCTCCAACCACGGCCTCTCCCTCGGCGACACGGTGGCGATGGTCGGGGCGCTGGAGCGCCTCATCTTCGACGAGTCCTTGGCGCTCCTCCAGGCATCCTACGCCTTCAACGGGCTCGACGCCGCCGAGGCCATCCCGCAAAGAAGCGCCCACGACGTCCTCACCTCGTACCTGCTCCTTGGTCCAGGCACATTTACTTGTTAACGGTGGGAAGATGTGTGAAGTTCTTGTTACGACACTGCATGGTTCATGCTCCTCTTATGCTGCATATTCACATGTCTCATGAACAGTGGGGCGACAATGCGACGGCGAAGCACTCTGCCGAATTGAACTCCATTCCAAAGATGCTCAATCTGAAAGCAGACACGACGGAGACGGACGGCACCACCCTATGTATCCCTTACTTTTGCTGCACGGCCATGTGAACCTCCACACCAGCCTCTTGAATTTCCCACGACACGCAAACTGTAGTTGGACTCCTTACACCCCAGAGTGTAATGGTCCCCCCCCCCCACCCCAGTATTCTACAAAGATGACCAAGTAGCCAAGGGTCCTGTTCCAACTCGGCAGCAAAGCCAACCTCACTGACCGCCGGCTCCACCACGGATTGAAGGCTGAATCGCGATTTGGGTTTGGGGTCAGCGTTTGGCTTTGAAGGGGGCTCAAGGCATCAATGGTATTACTGTTTGAGGTTAAGGTTATACGAATTTAGGGATTGAGTACCGGTTTCAGGATGTTGGGTTTACGGTTCTAGTGTTTGGATGTGGGGCTTTGCATGGTAAAGGGCTTTTGGAGAGGCGTGCGTTGCTGTCTGGCTGGAACCTGTTTTAGCCATCTAATATAGAGGCCTCAATGGATAGGGTAGGAGTTTAGGATACTTTGGGGTATGTTATACTGTTATACTACGAGTAGAATTAAAGGACCCCCAAGGAATGCGATTCCATCCATGCAGGCCCCTACACGAGCTGACAAGGCCAGGTTTTGAGGTTTTAGGCTTTGCAGAAGGGCAATGCACTTGTGTAGGGTTTGCAGGTTTGTGGTGTTCCGAATGTATCCCTAAACCCTAAACCCTAAAGACCCACAGCCTAAACCCTAAACCCTAAAAGCCCAAACCGTAAACCCCAAAAGCCAATCCTAAAGACCTAGAGCTAAAACCCTAAGCCCGAAATGGGGTTTATGGGGCTTCCGGGCAGAATCCAAAGGTCCCGGGGAAGTGTAAAACTGAAACCTGTAGAACATCCTAGACCATGCAAAACCTTAAAGGATAGAGTCTAATCAGCCCCTTACAACCCTAAACCCCAAAGGAAGTTGAAGGGCGCATAGATCTTTCAAGCAGCAGGCGTGCACCACCTACCACAACACGGGAGTGGCCACAACGCCTTCATTCGGTTTCAAGTTTCAGGGCGTAGGGTTCATGATTCTTTTGGGTCATCTTGCCATTGGACTGGGAGGCCGTTGAATCCTGGGACGTGCCACCCAGAATTCCGGTTTGGTCCGGAAGGGGTAAGCCTGAACCTCGAAACCCTAAATCAAGTCCCAAGCCCTTCCAGCTCTTCCCACCACAAGCCGAAATCCCGGGCCTGTGTCCTTGCCCTGCAGGCCAAACTTTCACAGAGGTCTGACTGGGAGGTTGCCCGGTTGATTTTGGGTTTAGGGTTTAGGGTTCGGGTTGGTTTGACTGCGTGCCCTTCGAAGTCCCATACAATACAGCATACTTTAATATTGTATACCACAATATATAGTATATGATATGATACAACCCAGAAAACATAACATAATTGCAAGGTTGTAGTAACACGATACAGTACGATCTAACATTTCATAAAACAAGTTAGTATAATGTAGTTTCATACACTATACTATACCTTGACATAGCCTAGTAATCTAGTGGTCGGTTCAAGTACCTCAGAGGGAGCCGCAGTTCGTCACGATTCAGCGAGGGCTCGCAGGCTCGTGTGCATGGCTCTAAATGCTTGTAGCAAACCTAAACCCTAAACCCTAAACCCTAAAACCCTAAACCCTAAACCCTAAAACCCTAAAACCCTAAAACCCTAAACCCTAAACCCTAAACCCATAGCTTGTCTTTTGTAGTCGTGTTCCTTGCTGGGCCTCCTGAAGAAGTCGCGGGATTGTGCTCTTGGTCTTGGGAGTCCCTGCTAGGCTTTCAAAAAATGCCTTGGGCGGAGGTTGTAGCTGTCCTCCTCCATGGTTTCGGGTTCAGGGTTGAAGGATTTGGGGTCGGGGATGTTGGATTGAAGGGTTCGCCAGCACAACTTTTCGTTTGCAATTCCATGTAGTCTTTGGGTGCGCTCTGTCGTTTGGAAGGGTTGCGATCCCAAGCATGAGCTGCAGGTGTTGGTGCGGTTTGGGGTCCCGGTTTCAGGACCCGAGGGTTCTGCGGTGCAGGGGCCAGGATTCACGAGTTTTGGGGCGCAGACTGGAGGGCTTCAGGGTTGAAGGGCACGACCATCAGTCGTGTGTCGAAGTTCAAGACCTACCTAAACCCCCCCATGGTTTTTTAAAAAATGGCCCAGCGCTCATAAAAGGCGACGGCTACTGCTCTACATACTTATCGGGTCCAGGTACAGTAGTTTCTCTTCAAAGCCTGCAATGTAAGGGAGGGAGCTTGAAGCTTTTGGAAGAGCTGGGCCGCAGTTCAAGATCCAGATGAAAGCGCTTCTTCTAGGACTTAAGGTTGGGGGTTTCGGGTGCGTCAGATTGCCATCATAATGGTGTCGTCGTGTGTCGGTCGTGCTTTCCTGAGCCGTTATCTATGAGGATACAGCGGCTCGTCTCATTAGAGCGATAATTCAGCCTCTGGCAACAAGTGGGAGGGTCGTGTTCTGGAGCCAGCAAGCCCAGTTTCAGAAAGTCTACAAGCCTCCGAATGAAACGCAGTAAGCCGGCAAACCTCCGCAATGGATTGGAAGCTCAGCTGTAAGGTTCTCCAAGACTTCGAGCGGGACACGCTCTTGAACTACAACTATGCTGCTCGGCAGAAGATCGTCAGGGGCATGAAGGGGTCGTGCACCCCATTATAGAACCCAAGACCTCGAACCTTAAAGTGCAGGGATATATTGTAGCATAAGATAACATGACTTGATACGGTACAAGTCAGCAGAGGCTTTTTTTTTGAGCCCTAAGCCCTGAACCCTAAATCTTCAGATCTCACAGTGAGTGTTTTTCTTTTCGGTCTTGAGGCTCATGCGATGGAGGGTTGAGGGTTTCAGGTTGAGCATCAGAGGATTAGATCTAAAAGACCTTTTCGTGGCTGATAGTCGGACCGATCACCCTGCACCCGGCTGTCGCGTTCCGTTCTAGGAGTTCCTGGCTAGACCGTCGTTTCTGACTCGATCACCCGGGTGAAGTTGAAGCTCCTGCTAGAGAATTCTGTTCGATGAGCGTCTCACCTTGGGTGGGACGAGAGATGAGGTCAGCTGCGCCCTAAACGGCCTTTGTCCAGGAACTTATGCCTCGACATTGTGCTAAGCCCTGAGTCCTAAACCCTATAAACTCTCGCTTGTGGTCCTCATCCAGGCTCTACCTACTAGGCATTCCGACCGTAGCAGGGAGAAAAAGGGCCCTCAACAAAAAAAACGACCTATAAACTCTAAACCGCGATCTTCCAGCAGGCAAAGCGTGATCGGACTAATCCCTTCGCTCCAGCGGAGTATGTCTTTGAGGATTGCCGGGGGCGGGGAGGGGGGGGGTTTCGGGTTTAGGGCCATTGGCCGCAAACTTACAAGCGCTGTGTAAAGTGCCTCCGATAAAGCTCGAAACTGCCGCCACAGCCAGGGAAGGGCAACTCGTCGTTTGAATGCCAGGGCTTGGAAATCCAAGCTTTCGAAGTTAAGCTGCAAGCTTAAGGAAGTGAGGGGCGAGGGGAGGACCCGGTTTGCGACTGCGGGTTTCTCCCTGTGTTGTTGTTTCATTATGCGACGTTGCATAATCTAAATTAGACGTCGGCATTTAGGGCTTTGGGTAGTGTGTTGGCCAACAGTCTCCTATCTTACAGGCACGGAAGCATAGAATTTGTGCTTGCCATATCGAATGCTGAAGTAAACTGACGTGCTACGCCACTCCTGAGTGCAGCTGAGATCGCGAGCCCCGAAGCCTGCCAACCATAGGACATGCCCCATACAGAAAACGGACGGACTTAGGCTTTGGAGCAGCAAAAATCCTGAATCTCCGAATCCGAGTCCTTAACTCAAAGCTCTAAACCTCGCACTGACCCCAGAATCTTTGGGATCTAGGCCGGGTTTCGGATGGAGATGTTTGGGTGGACTGGAAACGAAGCTCCAGCCCGCTTGCGGCCTCAGCTATGATTTTCATCACTTTCTAGGCTCCCCAGTGGTACCCTTTCGCCCTTTTTCTTGTGGGTTCCTGTAGTAAAAGCAAATTGTAGGACAAAGGGTAACCTTATCATGAAGAGGCTACTGGGGAACTTAGCTTTTCTGCGCAGGATATGTGTGGAATTGTGGCAGATTTGGCGCACGGCTATGGCAAGTGGCAGAACACAGAGTGCATGCAGATGATTCTGGGACCTTCTTCATAGCAACTTGTAGGTGCAGCATGCACCTAGTTAAACTATAAAGAATTTGGCCAAGTTTGATGCAAGCTATGTCACATGTCGTACAGGAAAGATGAGCTCGTGGAATTGGACGTGGACGGGGACGGGCGCATCCCCCTGAAGGTTTTCTACGGCCAGCAAGACAATGCCAAGTACCAGTTCAGCGAGTCGGTGCAGTACTTGCAGGAGATCGGCGCCCTGGACGAGAGCGGGGAGCAGAAGGTGCGGATCGCAAACTACCTGCAGGGCCCCTCCAACTGCATTGCGTCGTCGTCCTACTACTCCATTTGCTGCCTCAGTGAGTGCGAGGGCCTTGTGAACGAGCTGGAGGCTAAGGTTCAGGCGCCGGCTGCGGACCCCGCCTATCTGCTGGAGCTCGTGGGGCACATCTCCTCGGCCAGCGTGGACGCACCTCGTCAGCTTCCCTTTGGCTTGAAGCGCCGGCTGCAGGACATTGCGGACCACAATGGCGGGCAGGTGCCACTGCACGGCCGGCTCTTTGCGGAGTGGATGCACTATGCCTTCCCGCACGAGTGCCCTTATCCGAAAGTCTTCCAAGAGTCCAAGATCTTGACTCCCGAGTTCTGGGCTCAGAAGAAGATGTCCGTGGATGCTCAAGAGCGGCTTGAGATTGCCTCGAGTGCCGTGCTTGAAAACACCACGGACACGGACAGCGTCGGCGCAGAGTCGGCAGAGATTGCTTGGAGCAGCGAGGAGCTGCTGCATGCTCAGGACTCCCCGGTGCGGAAGCACGGCAGTGCCCGCGCAGCCCTGCGTTGCACCATGCAGCTGGCGCTGCTCCTCGGTGTCCTCCGTGCCGCAGCCGGCAGCTGGCAGACGCTCCGCGACCTAGCTGCTCCCAGGAGCAAGGCGGCGCTGCCCTTCTGAGCGGGGGGGGGGGAGCCCAGACCACGAGAAGCCACGCCCGAGGCAAAGCTTCGAAGAAGCTTCGGGGGACAACGCGCTGCAAGGGCGGCCGAAAACGGAACTACACCTGAGCGTATGCCCAACGAAGCATGAGCCTTCAGGATCAAGTTTGCGGCTTGCCGAGTCTGGCGTTTGTTTTTCGACCATTGCTCTAGACACTGCTTGATCTCTTGCCGGCCTCGTTGAATTTGCAGCTTCGAACCGCCGACGGTAGCAGAGCGGCCGCAGACGAACCTCCAATCCTGCACAACACCATAGAAACAACAACACATGAACGCGCAGTCAGATTATCATCAGGCGGCACATCACCGCATCAGCAACAGCATCTTCTTCAGCCTCGTCCGTCTCTGGGAAACAAGACGAGTCAGAGCAGGGACGAGGATAATGGTAGCACTAGTAACATACGTAATAGTAGTCAAGTAGTCGTAGTTAATATTTTAGTCATACGTATAAAAGTATCTTCGACTTCGTCGCAATGGAAATGCTTTCGGGCCTCGGCCATGTTACTGACAAAGACTTCACGTCCTTCGCCTCCATTGCTGCTCTCATGCGGCCATAAAGTACTGGACTACCAGTGACATGCAGTGTATCATACGGTAAATGTCGAGTATGAGTGACTCGTACAGTAACCTTCTATATCATACATCATACTGTGTAGTCTCCGTCATCTATCTGCTAGGCTGAGGTTATCTGACAGGGTCAGACAAGCGTCGCCAACTTAGTTGCAAATGGACCCAGCTGATGATGGAACTGGCTCAGGCGCACTGGGCACAAGGATCAGGGATGTCGCACGCGAGGGGGGGTGGGGGCACGGAGGTCTTCAGGAGAGCCGACAATGCTTAAAGAACGGATGGAGACTGGCATCCGCGTTAAACAGTGAAACAGTGACGATGACAGTTTCTCTTCTGGAGGAAGCAGCACTGTTGCACGGAGCTTATAGGGGTCGGAAGAACTATTTAGACTCAGTGAGAGTAATCCAGAAGTGCCCGCATACAGTATTTATTTGCTGTATGATATATCCCCCCAAACCCTGGCGTAATCAGAAGGCTCTGAGATTGCGTAGTGTAGGCCTTGCACTGCTTCTCGCGACCTTTGCATGGCTACGGAAATCCCGGTGTGCACCATGATTCAGCAGTCTTCCTAGTGTCAGCTAGTGCTCTTGTTTCCCTTTGGCAGCAGTCTACTGATCAGACGGTGTTCAGAGATGACCCCATTTCGGGATTTTCGTTTGAGAGCCCTACAGTTGGACCCCTTTAAAACGTGGAAAGAATCCTGCAGACCATCCGCAGACATCGTCTCGATATGTTTTCCGGGGCTTCAAATGGCTTCAAACTCCTAAACTCCAAACTCGTAGAGTGTGCTAAACCCGAAAGTGCCGAAGAAGAGGGCCACCTAGAGTGCTTCCCTAAAGATCCTAAGCCCTAAACCCTAAACCCTGAGCGATAACTTGACAGACGTGCGCCTGGCCGTCCTCTTCGCGCAGCAGAAGCGATTAAGCTCGCGGGCGCGTCAGGCGATGCACTCTGTTAGGGTTTAGGGTTTAGGTTTAGGGTAGAGCCCTTAAATCCAGGGCAGGTTTGTGTGGACGGGTTCAGGGTCGAAGGGTTTTGGGTTTTGGTCGGATGCCACTCCGGGCGTTAAACGCTCGGAGACCCGGCGACGGGAGGTGAAGCGTTGGGGGTTTTGCCAGGGGTTTATAGGGTTTCGGAATTCTTCAGCTCTTCTTTGCATAGGATCGCCCACTCCATCAGAGGCTCTGGCACTTCAAAATCCCCAGGAAGACGACACCCTACAGGGAACTCCAGAAAGTTGGAATATGGTTTCATGGTAGGATACCCTATACTTTACCTTAAAGGGGTTACGATAATGATATTCCAACTTTCTGGCTTCTACTGTACAGCTTTAATGCTGGACTCAGAATCCGGACTGTAAATGCTGAGCCCCCACTCAGGAATCCAACTCGAGAGCCCGAACAGATTGGCCTCCCCCAACACTAATCCGAAATCGGTGAGGAGATCCTGAAACAAGTCTTGGGGTGACAAAGTGAGCCTTCCATAATCAAAGCTCTGATTATGATTGTCATTTCAGCTGTACATGTTTATATTGATGATGCTCAGGAGTCACGTGGTTGTCTTAGTGATGGCCCGCTGTGGTGCAGTACAGATTCTCGAATAACGCCGCATTCCTTTTGCAGCCTGCCCCATCCGCCGAGGACGCCGAACTCATGGTAGAAGCCTGTTATTGTGTTGACTGTTCCAGCGCTTTCTTACTGGCTTTGCCAGGACTTCTTCACGCGCCTGGTCGAGGATGATGTGCCCAACAAGACAGTAGAGGCCGACTTGCAGGCGGGTTGGGTGTCCTTGTGCATGCAGGGGGGCAGCCTGCACGGCCACGTTATGCACCTTCATGGTGATTTCTAAAACGGAGTTATTCTTTAAATACAGTTCTTCTGGACTTATGTAAGGGTCTTGCAGGGCTTTAGTAGGGTTTTCCCTGGCGGTCCCCTAAGTCGTAGTAGTGGCAGTGGTGGCAGCAGTAGCAGTTGTCGTAAGTAGTAGCAATCACAGTAGGAGCAACAGCATGACCCGCTGGGCCGTTGAAGGGTCGCGGGCTCCAGGAAATTGTCCAAGTGCGCAGTAAGAGACACAATCCGACCCCTGAACCCTAAACCCTGAAACCTAAAGCCGAAGCCCTAAACCCTAAATCCTTAACCTCAACCATGTTCTTATACCCACGGTCCGCAGAGCTTTGAAGGCCCCGTCGCAGCTGCCACGCCGGCATCGCCCGAGGGCTGTGCCAGCGAGGTGCTTCGGGCACTGTGAAGCATCTGTGCGAACTGCTGTCTGTGTTGCTTCCGATACAGGCACTGTCGGTTTTACAGCGACTTGTGCTACCAATGCTGCTGCCTCCACTGCTAGCACCAAGACGACGACAGCTACCAGTAGTATTGCCACCTTCGGCAATGACAACAGCAAAGCACAAGAACTGCAACAGCAGCAGCTAAAACATCCGCCACCACCACCGCCGCCGCCACCACCACCACCACCGCCGCCTTGCCGCCGTCGCCACCGCGCCCGCCGTCACCACCGCCGCCGCCAGCAGCAGCCCCAGCAGCACTACCACCACTACTGTTTCCATTGCCACTACTCACTACCCTTACCCTTACCCCTATCCTGGCAACTACGCTTACCCTAACCCCACTGGTCACCACTACTTTTGCCATGACCAGATCCACTACCATTACCAATGCGATTTCCATAACCATTGCGACCACCATTGCCGGAACCATTACCACCACCAGTAGCAAGCAGTAGTGACAGCATGCGGTGTTGTCTGTACATTTTATTAATGCTGCCAGAACTGAGCCGTCCTCGGGTGAAGTCAAAAGGAGGTCCCTAAGCGATGTTTCTGTACCACTCGCGGCTCCTTCTCTCTGGCTAGCAAGGGAGGGCTAAAGCAACCTTTGCCAGCGGCTTTCCTTGCTTGTGTGTGTAAGGTGTTTGATCTTTAGGGATTCCTGAATTTCATATGGTCTTTGGATTTCTCACACCCCTACATCAAACCTTGAAGCCCTCCAGCAGTCTGAGCCAGGTCTCTGCGTCTAGAGCAGGTGCACTGCGACCGGGGCGAGTCATAGTTAGGGTTGTTTCGGTTCGCATTTGCTCTTCGCTCGTCAAAGGGAGTATGAGTATTGGCTGGATTCCTGTCCCAGCCCCACAAAATGCCTGAAACTGGAGGCGTAGGCTTGTAGCTTCATGGTTTCCAGTTCAGAGCGTGCGTTTTAGGGCTTGAGGCTGTTCAGGGTCTGCAACTATAGGCTTTGACTTAACGGGGGAGGAAGGACTGCATAGTGACGTTATAGCAGATGGAGACCATATGGACAGTTGCAACCCTCACATATTATTCAGTTCACGGCACGCTGCCATATGCAAGGGGTAGATACCAGAGCGATGGTAAGCCCCGCAACTCCTCTGCCCATCCGGACTACGCCATCCCGAAGAGAAAGGAAGGAAGTCGCCAATCCTATAACAGACTAAAATTTGATAGATTCTAGGACCTAGAGTAGGGTTCAGGTTCCCTTATAAGCCCCTTTAAACCAAAAAGGGCACCCTTTTTACTCTTAGGTTACTCTTGGGTCTAGGATTACAAAACTATACGAGCTCGAAGCCCCACCAAGTCGGAAGGATCAAATTCCTGAGCCCTAGACCAACAAAAGGGTCCAAGACTAAATTCTGCAGCTGGCTTTGGGTTTGCGGTTTAAGGATGAACCCTTTCGTCGGAACCCCTGAAACTGCATCGTTTACATAGATTCATGCTCGCTCCGTGCATTCCAGCTGTTTGGCTTTGGAAGGTCGCAGAGACATGGGTCCTCTGTGCAGAGCATGGGGCTCTGGGTAAGCCCGAAACCCGAAACCGTCACAACCCCCAAAACCCTAAACCCTAAACCCTAAACCGTGCATAAACTCCGCAGGCTTAGTGCATTGAGCTAGGTGGCAGAACTCCAAAGCCCTAGGCCTGAACCCCACACCCCAAAGCTTGAGCCCGAAAAACGGATGCAAAACCTTAAGTCCTGAGCCCTAACCCCTAAACCCTGAATCCTACGCCTGAAATTCTGTAACCCTAAACCCTGAACCCTAAATCCTGAGCCCTAAGCCCTAAATCCTTAGCTTTGGCAGCCATGGACCTGGATTGGCTCAGAGCCACCTGGCCTTGGCTATTAACATGTACAGCAGCCCTGGCCACGATGCTGCACCTGGCACCCCGGCCTGTGTGCCTCATTGTAACATGCTATGGCAAAATCATTGATCTGATCTCATCTGATATGATACCGTATGATGTGATGGTGATGTGGTGTGCTTTGATGGGAGAAGTGTTGAGATGATATGCTAAGAGGAGAGATGATCTGATATTCCTGAGTATCGAGCACATGTCATGTTATGTTACGCAACTTTCGACTTTGTTATATGACATGTTGATGTTACGCTATTCACTCTTGTAGTATACATTATTCCATATTGTCTAGTAATATCGTATTTTGCAGTTTATTATATATATATATATAGAACACTACATGTTGGATTGGAGTGTTTTCGAGGACAGTATAACACAGAACACAACCACATCATGCAACACAATATTTTATTATCTTTGTTACATGGTTTGTTCTGATATAACATAGGTATGAGATTAAGGAACAGATAATGCAATACACCATCGCGCATAGTTACCGTATGATATTGCTTTCCGCATTTCACCATATGCATAAAGTAAAGTTGTTTGCATATACTTTCATGTTGTATTGAGCTATTTTTTACTACATCACATTGGTCTGTTGATATAAGATGTTTACTTCCATGGTTTTACAGTTCCGCTTATACTGTGGCACTTAATATGAAGGGCTTTCATTTGGGCTGCAGACGAGGAGCCGAGAACGTCTTCTGCAATCGACAAGCGGATCTTGACGCCGCCTGGCAAAAAGATCATGACGTGTAGGAGCCCCAATTCCGGGGATCCTCGGTAGCATGTTTGGGGTTCAAGGTTTATGCTTTTCAAATTTCGTTGCTTATTCAAACGTAGTTAATTTGGGTCTGCTGCACTCCGAATCTCGTTCTATCCAGAGTGAAATACTAAGCGGTAACGGCCTCCTTGCCGCAAGGCTACATTGCGTATTGCGGGGGTTGTCACAAGTTGAGCAGTCGGCCGCTGCATTCTTGCAAATCCGGATCATCTTTATAATCTTTGCTCCCCTCGGGTTCGAATCAGTGCTTCACTTTTGTTGTCATTGCATTCTGAGATTCTGACAGTTTTTTTTTTTTGGTTAGGTTGGAGGGTGGGTGTGTGATCTTGCCGGCTTCTCTGCACGACTTGAGTTTGTCAGACGTGTGGTTCCTCGCCTCGCCTTCAGCTTTAGCCCTCCTCTCGGAGCGGATTGCAGTGATCCTGAGGAAGAGGACGCTTGAAGCTACTTGTTCCGGCAGCAACCGTTTCTAGTACTAGCCCCCACATCCACCCAGCCCCCACACTGCGACAAGCCACCTTCTTGCTCGTGGAAACTCCTGGCGTTCGTGGAAGTTAGGAATCTGCGCGCAGCCTACGCCCGAAATTCCGCCCATCCCGAACCCAAAACCCGAACTGCTGGCAACGTTCGCAGGTCGTACATACGGAACCGCTAACAAAGAATCATATGACATAGACAAGCAGTGCAGATTGTGCGGCATATTGCCAGTATCGTGCTCATCTTCGTAAGCTGCGCGCAAGGCCGTATAAACGCTGAAAGCCCGCCCTTCCGCTATAAACGCTGCCCTTCCGCTCAAGGAACTTAACTTTACTTGCCTTTGGTTAGTCGGGAATGGAGGAATGGGGTACACTTATAACTACTATTACTACCATTCTTCCATTCCCTAGTAACCAAAGCCACAGCCTGCGTTGGTAACGCAATCGTGTGCCCAAACCGCTTGGTTGGTTCAACTCGCTCACAGCCGCAGGCCTGCGATTATGACGGAATCGCGTGCCCAAACCTCTTAGGTAACTTAAGCTGCCATGGTCGGGATGCGTGTGTGTGTGTGTGTGTGTGTGTGTGTGTGTGTGTGTGTGTGTGTGTGTGTGTGTGTGTGTGTCCGACCATTGTGAATTAAATCAAGTTCGCGCGTTAGGTTTTAGGGTTTAGTGTTCAGGGTTTAGGGTCTAGGGAAAATTCTGGTGTTTGGAATTTATCTTAAACCTAGACCTAAGGAAACGAACGATCCTTAGGCAGCAACCCAAGAAGAGCCGTCAAAACCCTAAGCCCGGACCGAGGTTGGTCGTCGCCGGACGTCAGCTCTGCCTCTCCGTGAGTCTGCAATCTGCCACCCTGTTCTTCGTGGGTCTGTATCAGTTCCTCAAGACGCATCAGAGTGTAGCTTAGGGGTCTAGGGGTTGGTGTGAACTGGGACCTTCGATTCAACGTGGAGGTCGGAAGAGTTGCCAAGACCCTTCGTTAGGAAACCGAAACCCGGCTAAATTTGGACACCGACGGCGGATTAGAGCCGAACGCCGCTGGATTGAAGCACCTGGCCGTCTGAACCGAGAACCTGCGAAATTCAGGCACCCCTGGTGCCCGACTTAAGCCGAGAGCCGATTGTATTTAAAACAAGCGTGGGGGCCTCAATAAGTAGCACAGGGTTTTGGGGTGGAGGGGTTGTGGAGTATATTACACTTATAATAAGGAATCCCCGCAACCCTATTCTAAGTTATTAAGCTCCCTACATCATCCAATCCTTGCTCGATTTCCCAAAGGTGGCGATAGCGTGGGGATGGTCTAGCGTCCCTTGCCTTGCCAAACAATGCATCCGGGGAAGTTGCAAGGTCCCACTAGGTCACAGCAGGAGGCGAACCTCGAGGATTCACTTGATTGTGCTAGTCTCCCAAATTTACCGAAAAGCAGGGCCCTGCAAATTGCACCTCCCAACAGCGCAGCTTGTAAGTGAATTCACGAATGGCAGGCATTGAAAACACGGCACTCGAGACCCCCACAGGCTCCACAGGCCAAAGCCTGGGCGAGGACAACGAGACGGAGGAAAGCAAAGATCTGCTTGGAAACGAGCCCCCTCGCACCTAGCAAGAAGAACACCAGTAACCTCCACCCACAAATTATGTACGACACCTTCTACCCTTCGCAAGCAGCATTGACCACAAATGGGTGAATCGATTTCGAACTTGTAGGGTGAAACATGGTCTTGAGACATCACGAGCAGTTTGCCCGAACCGCCCGACCGCAAACCTTCACGCGTACGCTCAGAATCGATAAGTTGTGGGTACGCCAAGTTACCTCTTGAATGTGCAGCCCTTGCAGAAGGATCTATCGCAAATTGCTCACAGTTCCGAAACTAAACCCTAACACTAAACCCAACCCTAAATCCCAAGCCCTAAGCCCTAACACTAAGTCCGAAACACTCCACTCCGTACCCAAGCTTCAAAGTCCAAAGTATTGATGGCCGTGGCATAAGGCATACTCTCAACAGAAATCCTGACGACAATCTTTGCAGTTGGAGTCGTACTAGTATACGGTGCAACCAATAATCACTCATCCCAGTTTCAAATCATCATCTCGATCATTTGAGCCATTCTTGCTTTCATCCGAGGCTGCTTTTGGCACCTGTTAGACGACCCACCAAAGATTTCCACAATCCAAGATCCAGCCATTTTAAGGCCGGGCTGCAAGCTCGAGGTTTTTGGGTCTTAGGGCTTCGGGTTCACAGGTTTTGGGTTCAGGGGTTTGGGGTTCAAGTGTTTGGGGCTTAAGGGTTTGGGGTTTTGGGGTTTAGGGGTTTGGGGATTTAGGGGTTTAGGGTGTGGGAATCCCGCGCCACCACGCGAGACGTGTGTTACTGCCAACCAGGTTCACTTCCCTCTCCCAGCCCCGAGTTTAGTCGAGATCAGGTTTGTTTGGGGCCATTGTCTCGCCAAGCACCCTGGAACCTAAACCCTAATCCCTAAAACCAAACCCGTAAGTGGCCAGTGCACTCTGCAGGTTGGAAAAGAGGCGCTTAAAACATAATCCAAACCCATATAACGGCTCTGCAAAGCGATCTCGCGCTGCTTCAGCACCTCGTAGAAGGGCCTCCCTGCCCG